AAATCGGCATAACCCGAGCAGCTTAACAGCCTTCATTCTCAGCCCCATACGTGTACGTTAACAAGCGGCCAAGAACGCTACCACTAACAAGCACTCCCCTCAGCGAAGCCTAGCCCCATGGCCAAGCCCTCCAGAACCCAACTTCCACGCTTTCGAGGGCAACATGACGACGGCTTTCACAAACAACGTCATAAGTACTCGCTTGCGGCACCCCACCAGAGAGAGCTAATGGGTAATGGTGGTTCCAGAATACTTCTTTTTCAGAATTCCAACTTGTATTGCGGCACCGAACCGAACACCAATGAGCAACAACCGATGTCTTGTTTTCGGAGAGAAAACACAAACCACAAGAGACACACATGACTCTTGGTATGATGTACACTAGAACAGGCAGAGACCCTTGGTTTCACTTCACTTTTTTGTTATGCTCACTTGGCCCACGTAACGAACAGCATTGCTGCATTCCCGCCGTCAACCAGTTCCTGTCTTGGATCGCTTGACTCGTTCGCGGCTTGGGATCGGCACGGATATCGGTGCCGAAGGAGGGCATCCCGTGCCAGCCGTGAAAGATTTTGTGACGAACAAATATTCTGAGAAGAGACAGACAGCATACACTCGTTGCGCAGTTTTCCCTTCCCTACCTCCTTAACATCGGCATAAAGTAGGCAAATCTTTGTTTTTATTTGTGGTGGTTTTTTTCTTCTTTTCTTTCGTTTTCTGTTTTTTTTTGGTGCCGTCACCTTCACGAGCTAACAAAATACACAAGACGTCAAACCGTGTCGTGCAACGTTGAAACTGTCAACGGACATGCCGTAATCACAAGAGAGAAGCAGGAAGGGTTACACGATCTTTCCTCTGGTGCTACCCCTGGGTAGATCTTGTATTACTTGCATGACATAATGCAAGTATTCTCATCTAGCTGACATTGTTTAAGGGGTTCGAGGTAGACTGAAAGTGTCCGCTTGTCAACTCTTAACTTCGAAGGCTGTTGTTATTCAAACTTCAAGTTCTCGCTTGATTAGCATCTCTCCTTGGATTGCCATCCAATGTTCGCTAGGAAATCAGGCCTCACTGTAAGTTCAAGCTGGTTGCTTAAACTGTCATCGGCCGTGAGACTCACCTGTGAGAAACGTCCTCTCGTGCCTCCGCCGATGGACAAGTTGGCGATGGCCAAAGAGATTACAGAGCAAGTCTAACATGGTACGACTGCTTTACGAACCATTGAAAGGCGTACGCGAAACTCACCGGTCCAAAGGCTCGTGAGAGGGTCGCCGTCAAAAGCGGATACCCGAGAATCTCAAAAATAATGCCAGAGGTAGTGCTCGCATGAGACAAGGTGCGCATGCATGGTTGTACCAAGTAGTAGATGGTATACCACTTCGTTCTCCTTCTCCCCAGTGACACATAGAAGGACGAGGCATGGCCGAGTTTCCGTGTTTTTGTGCTTTTCGTTGCAACCAAAGTCTAAAAAGCAGTCAAGACAGCATACCAACCATCCACTACGTCGTTCCGTCATCTCCAAAAGAGCTCATTTTTTCTACCCCAAGCCCGCTTCTTCCTACCCTACCCCTTCTTGGAAAGGAATCCCATGAGTTCCGTAAAACGCCTCTCGAAATTCCATCTGCCTCATCATCTCAGAGAGAGCTCACTCTGTATAGCCTCTAGATGTGATGGGTATGTGTGTATTCTTTTTTTGTGTACCCCTGTCGAAGTGCAGCCCCAAAAACTAAAAGAACGAGAACGCCGGATATAATAATCGAGAAAATGCTGATCATGTCTGTTCAAGGTTATATATGCAGTTTTACTCGTAGTTGAAGAGCACGCTGATCGATTCACCGTGGTGGACGCGCCGCATCGCCTCGGCAAAGATGGGAGAGATGTCCAAGACGTCGAGCTTGGATCCAAGCTGCTTCTTGTGCTCGTCCTGGGGAACAGAGTTGGTAACGACCAGCTTGTCAATCGCCGAGGCCTTGACGCGGCTGATAGCGTCGCCGCTGAAGACACCGTGAGTCAACAGGGCGTAAATTGTGGTGGCGCCCTCCTTCTTAAGGAGCTTGGCGGCTCTGGTGATAGTGTTGCCGGTGTCGGCAATGTCGTCGAGCAGAATGCAGACGCGGTCAGTAACGTTACCCACGAGCATCATACTGGCATTCTGGCGATCGGTAATCTTGGTAGGGCGGCGCTCCTGTGATTCTTGGTTAAGTGGTAATCCTGGCGGGGAAATCTGTAGGAGGGCATTTACCTTGTGAATTAGGGCAAACTCCATACCCAAGCTATCCGCAATGGCAGTCGCGCGCTTGGCACCACCAGCATCGGGGCTGATAATGACGGCATCCCTCCAGTTAGGAATGTGCTGCTGGATGTAGCGTTTAAGAAGCGGTTGTCCGTAGAGGTTATCGACAGGGATATCGAAGAATCCTTGGACTATACAGGGAACAAGTTAATCTACCAGCCGTGGCCAGCGTCATGGGACGAAAGGACAAAGAATGCACAACTACTCGCGCAAGTGTGAATGTGTGTTTTCCACATCAACCGAGACACGTACCTTGAGGGTCGTGGAGATCCATGGTAATGACTGTACGGACGTGAGTTAGCAGCTATTTCCTGTGCACAAGCAATCCCTCATGTCGCGCGTCTCTCGCAACTGGTTGTAGGCCCCAGTATTGTTCGGGCCACAGGCCATTTGTTGGAATGACGTACCATGATCGCAGCCGGCACAGGTCAAAAGGTTGGCCACAAGGGTACCCGCCTGCGCAACCCACTGCTTGTAACCGGGCTTGGCCTGGAAACCGTTGACGATGGAGAGATTCTCGTAGTCATGGGTAGTATACTGCTCCTTAGAGCTACCATTCGTCAGGGCGTTCTTGATCATCTGGTTGGCGATGTCGGAGCTGTTGGTAAGGCCAGAAGTCTTGGGCACGCCGGGACCGGGGGTGGGCGGGACACTGTCGAAAGTGTACTGATTCTTTCCATTCTCGCCGTTGGGGGTGGGCGCCTTGTACAAAGGAGCGCCGGCCTTGTTGTAGGGCAAGTCGGGTTGCCTCGAGTAGGGGAACAAGGGAAGGACAGCGGTGACTCTGCGAGCAGAACCAGTCTTGCAGGCAGAGATCATGATGCAGAGGTCCATGAAATGGTCATTGAGCCTGCTGCCATTGCCACCGAAGCCAGTCTGGATAATGTAGACATCCTTTCCGCGCACGGAATCCTGAATTTCGCAACGACTTTCGCCAGAGGAGAACTTGGTCAGGATCCTGCTGCAGGCGGGCAGGCCGAGAATACCACAGATGCTCTCCACCAATTCGGGGTGGGAGTTACCGCCGAGGACGACAATGTTACGGACCATCTTGCAGTCTTGATCTTGCGACCCGTCAGGATCGCACGTGCAAAGAGACGAAGGCGGAGGAGGGATCGAGACGAAGGAGGTGGCGTCTGAGAGGACGGCGGCGGCGGCGTCGGTGGTGGTCGCTGGAAGGCCGGAGGGGACAAGCCCGGAAAGAAATGAAAGCAGGGCCACGATAGCGTTGGGTAATGCGAGGCTCTTAAGCGCCACTAGCCGTAAGGCAATGGGCAAGCTGACTCCTCAGAGTGCCAGGTCGTGCTGGGCTTCGAAGGATCGTGCTCGGTTTTTTCCTCCCGGGTCTGGGAAGAAGAATTTGCGCCGGTATATTTTTTTTCAAGACCGATTTGAGAGCCGAGCGATAGGCGAATAAGAATCCGTTCCGAGTCAATGGGCGATGGTCTAGCTGGGTCAGACTTTAGCAGCACAAGTTGCGACGAGGCAGAGGATGCGAGGACCCAAACTTTTGTATAGAGTCTAGAGAAGAAATAAAAGAGGAGATAGTGGGAGAGCAAAGCGAGGGAGGAAGAGGCGATCATCACTGCGAGATGATTCCGAGTAATGTGGGAGTTTGAGAAACCAGTTGATTAACAAGGGTCTGCTTGGAGCGAGGTCGGTCGTCAAAGCAGCGACATAGTAAGTGCATGTACTTGGTGTTAGTGCCAAACAGGCTCACCTGGTTGGCGTTGGCGTGTGCGGTGGTGGCAGCAGTGGAATGAAGGCCTGGGCCAGGTTGTCAAGCAAGGAAGTCACAAGGAAGAGTGTCCCTCACCTCCGCTGGCACCACTGTCGCGGAGGGATCGCGGTCAAAAACCAGACACACAACAACGACGAGAACGAAACCTTCAATTGACATGGGGGGGAAAAACGGGTTTTCTGGATTAGGTGTGATGTTGATCATGGATGCACATTTGCTCCCCACGCTTGCTTGAAGTTCATAATCCCATCTTCGTCCTCTCTGCCTCGCTGATTTCCTCACTTTTAGACTAGCTTGGTTGCGAACAGAGAAGTGAAGACGTGCCTCGTTGTCAAACACTCATGATTGTTTCAGGACTTTCGTTGCCCAAATGGCTCTCTCTCTGTGTTTGGGACTCCGTCACCGCACCGAACCCGTGCCGCGTGCGAGATTTTTTTTTTTTTCCCCGGGCATGTGCAATTGGAGGAATCTGGCTGCAGCGACGGCTCGACGCTCCAGGTGGGGCAAAGTGCAAACTGCGTTGTAAATGATTGGACAGGAACGCTCAATGTCCTGAGAATGCGGCTGCTGCGGTCCGTTCGCAACTTCTTGACTTCGTTACAATGGCGGGGCACGAGTGGACGGGAGTCCAATGTGGCAGGAACTGCAAGTGCAACCGCTTGTGAAATGGAACATTTCACTGGCCACTGACCATTCACCGCGACGGACGGACCATCTCAAAGGCCTTCTCCTCCACCAACCTTTGTTTTTATCATCACATTACCAGATCGCCAAGTCTAGAACATTGCTCCAAGAACACCACTTGTGTCGTATTCGACACCAAACAAACAAGTAGCCAAACACGCTTACGCTTTCCCGAAAGCAGTCGCATTCGCATTCGCCTAGGCTACAGGTGGTCACCAGCAAGCAGTCGGCGCAAGACTTCGCTTCTCACTCTTAGGCAACAAGCCAACCCAAGTCGACACAATGAAGATCCTTGAAGGCCAAAGCAACCTGGTCTCAAACCATGAGGTCTATGAGCATATTCTGGAGCAACAGCAAAAGAACAGGTCCAAGAACAGGAGAGTGCCTCCCAATCAATTTACTCTCACTAAGGATGTAAGCAAGCCTTCCATCATGACGAATGTGAACATGCCCAAACTAACCTAGAGCAGCTCTTGACCTATCTCCGAACCAAGCCTGGCCCATTGGCAAACCAGGACAAGACCCATCAGTACAGCACGGAAGCGGTGTATGAGCTCTTTAAGAAGCTTCGTGAGGCTAACCTCCAGAGCGATCTCTCGAAAGGCGAGATGCTCATGATCATCAACCTTCGGCCCACCAATGTTGCAGTTCTTAGCACGGTCGTTGAAGACATGTTGGAGCGCTTTACTGAGGACGAGCAGCAAAAGATCATTGATATCATCACCGAGACTCTCGGCTTTGACGAACCCACAGAGGCCGCGGAAGGAGAAGAGAACGACGAGGACGCAGCACCCTCCATTGAAAACTCTTGAACACGTGGACATGACGACAGCTTTGGACAACTCACATGATTGTGCATCCTCCTTCGCTTTGCCCGCCCTCGGAAGTTGTCGTTTTCAGCGCCGTTGTACATATATCGTCGAACACCTCTTCCAGCAGCTCGCCAGTCACCGCAGAGCATTCCATGTACTTGTCTAACCTCATCTCTTGCGCCATGCGATACGCCTCCTGCGGGTAGATGGTACCGTTGGGATCATTCTCAGATCGCAGATCCCGCTTGAGGCCCAGCATAAGCACCGGGGTGCTGTCGCCGGTTACGCCCGCTGTCCGGACCTCTTTGTTCCACTGCGCAATATATCAGTTTGTTTAAAGATGCGGTTTACCCTGGATGGAACCGGCGCTTACCACTCTTTGGAGGTTGATCAAACTGAGCCTCTGGCTAATATCATAGCAGAGGATGACTAGGTCGGGCCAAAGAAGTCTCCAGCTTTCTGGACTGGAAGTGTCGTAGAATTCGAGCCGATAGTCCCCACGGCGAGTGCGAATATCAAAGATGAAAGGCTGGTCGAGGTCCCTAAGAAGGGTAATGGAATCTCTGCCTTTCAGGTTGTGACGGCCTCTGCTGATTCGCCTGGGTGGGTGTTAGTGAATTGGCTTGTCTTGTCTTCTGTTGGATTAGTGGGCACATGTAGGAATAGATGCAGTGTATAGTTGTATCATTCAGGATTATCACTAACGATAGCAAGGTTGACTTTCCGCATCTCTCATCGCCAACGAACAGTATCGTGATCGTTTGTGAATCCATGACAAACAAAATGCAGGCTCGTGAAAAAGGGGGGTGACAAAAACGAAAAAAAAAAATAAAGTAAATATTCGAAAGAAGTGACTTTACTCGACAGCTACCGGCGAGATGCGGTTAACACAGTCGTTCTTTTCGAGTGATCTTGTTAGCTCACAGGTGGGAGACCCAGGAGAGCGGACTGTTATCAACAAAACGGGAGCCCTGTTGCCTGCCGACAGGATGGGACGGGAGACACCAGAAAAGTCTCTGCCAAGACATATGTCCCCACAATATTTTTTTTGGAGAAACTCCATGCGGGCACCCCCCCCCCCCCCACCCCCCCCCAAAAAAAACCCCCTCGATTAAAAAAAAATCCCAATCTCGGGG